ATTATAATAAATAAAACAATGCCAAGATTTTAATGAACAAATGTTCAAATTTATTTTATTAAGGGCGATAAATTTATACAGAATGTTCAGGCGATACTGCTAGCGTTAGATGCAATCCTGGGCCATAAATCGGCACATTCTTTAGCAACAGGTCCTGTAATAGCCGATCCTTTCATTTCACCTTTATTATTCACAATAACCCCTGCATTGTCTTCAAAGTATATAAAAACTCCATCCTTCCTTCGAAATGGTTTCCGTTGCCGTATTACCACTGCAGGCATCACTATAAAAAAAATGTAATTTCAAAATATTATTCTATATACGTATTACTTGCATGCAGTAATTATTAAGAGTGAAAAATACAAGTTATAACTGAAAAATTTAATTAATGAAATAAAATTTTCGTACAATATTCAGTCTTTATAAACTTGTTCTAGCAAAAAAATTACTTTGTAATAAAAACATTAGAATAATTGAAACTTCATTCAATTTCTTTGAAAAACATTAAATTTAAGAAAAACTTTAGTTACCCTTTTTCCTAAGTTCAGGTTTTCCTTTTTTGACAGTAGCAACAATCATATCACCTGATCCTGCAGCTGGTAAACGGTTTAATCTACCTTTGATTCCTTGAACTGCAATTACATATAAATTTTTGGCACCTGTAACAGAAATGTTTACATTATAATTATGCCTTAATGTAAATATTTGATTGATCCTAACATTTCGCATTTAAAATCTAAAATTGATCCTGTACATAATTATACAAACTGCTACTTCAGATTTTACAAACTTATGTCTTTTAACAATTGAACAAAGTACATAAATACTATTAATTGCTATCTTATATCATAGCTTTACATTTTAATGAGCAACTTGATTACTAACAATAGTTATTTATAAAGTTATATATAGCAATGTTAGTAATCCTAAGTACACATATAGAAGTCTGTTTGTAAATACATTATGTTACAAAATTTAAATATTTATACATAACTCATTTTTAACATTATAAGTAATAAGTAATTTATAAAAAAAATATCTTAAAAATCTAAATGACAACTATTAGCCATGTGCTACTTTTATTCATAACATGGCCAGATTTTTAAGGTTAAGTATTATTTTTAAAACTTTTTTTCAACTACTTACCAGTATTATCGGCACAATTTATCACTGCACCAACTGGTAAACCCAGTGATATCCTAAATTTTGCACCTGCAGAACCACCACGTCCTTAAAGAATAATAATTTCATATTAATTGTTGTCATCAATGGATACGTTTAACGCGGTAATTCTCCTCGATACAATCATCGATTTTTCCAGGTTGCATCGTTAATAATGAAAAACTATTTCTGCCACTGTACATTGTAAACGTTTGTTCAACGTTCATGCATTTCATTTTGATTGAATTTTGATATTTTTAAATGGATTTCTTTGGATTTTCTATTCCCCCAAAGAACAACTTACCTCTCTTCGACATCTTGCTGTCTTTAAAAGAGAAAGAAACTACTGTTTATCGCGCACTAGTTCACGCGCAGACTATCATGAACCATTTCCGACGCGGAAATATTTACAGTGTTCAAATCAATTCTTTTTTAATAAATTGTTATAATTTTCTAGGTGTTTAACAGAATTGAACACTGAGACAATATTTTTTTTCTCTTCAATGTACTATTTATGTATCTTTTGTAATATGTTTAATTATATTTCTAATATGAAAATACTTATCTAAAACAATAATTAATTTTAACATATTTTTTTGATACATTGTTACATAAGTTATAAACTTTTTACGTTTTCATTTATATATGTATGATATTGTTAATAAACACATATTATGCAGGATATAAACAATTTAATATATGCTAATTCAAAATCATTGTGAATTAATGCTAATATACAATGTAACTACACAAATAATTAATAAAAAATAACTACATATTTAATAATGATTTAGTAATAATATATGATATAACTATATGAACAACATTGCAGTATGCTGTTAAAGTATTAAATCAATGTATTAATTATTATTATGAAGAAATCGAAATAAAAATTACTTTCGGCGCCAACACTCCCTTGTTTTGTCATTTGCTGTGATTTGAGGTGGTAGAAAGATAAAATTTGATATCGTTCTTAGAATCATATTTAATCAAATAAAATGCCTAATACTCTATTAGCAGATTCTATTTCTCTGGAATTGGAAGGTAATTTGTTAAAACTTTATTTTGACATATGCTTTAAACTACATTTTCAACTTTCATAAAACTTAACCTTTATTTTTTTAACGTATCTTCCTAATATATCTTTATATAATTATGAAATGTTTACTTAAAGAATTCTCTTCGTTCATAAAGCTTTCTTTAATTTCATCATTTGTTTTTTATTTCGTAATTTTCTCTTGGCTATGTGAAAATTAAATACTATTGTTTTAAAACAGTAGTTAATATCTGCCTTTCATTTTGTTTAGCTCAAGATCCATTGCCCCAGAATATTATTCTGTATCAGCCATATGAGGTTGAACAAATATTACTACCTGACAATGCAAATTGCTTGGCTGTTCAAGCTTTTCTTAAAATGTGTGATCTTAAGTTTAAAGTAGAGCCAAGAACCAATGCAGAATATATGTCTCCATCTGGCCGTGTGCCATTCATTAAATGTGGTGCATTTTTGATATCTGAATTTGACAACATTGTATCATTTATAGGGCATAAAGGCATAAGTTTATCAGATCATTTATCTCCAGCTTCTAAGGCAGATATGAGGGCCTATATGTCATTAGTGAATAATGTTTTTGTAAATGCTGAATTATATATTTGTTGGGTTGATGAAACTACTTTAAATGAAGTAACCAAAGGAAGACATGGGAGTGCATATCCATGGCCACTAAATCACTTTTTAAACTGGCAAAAAAGAAAAGAAGTCATAAAAAAACTCAATATACTTGGTTGGTACAATAAAACTATAGAGGATGTTTGCAATGAAGTTAAAAATTGTTGTACAGCATTATCAGTGAGATTGGAGGGTAGTGACTATTTCTCTGGAGAAAAGTAAGTATACATTATTAATAATATAGACTGCTATAAAAATTCTCCCTTTTCCTTTTATGAAATTGAGCATTAAAAACATTTTTCATGTTCATTTAATGTTTATTCCTAATAAGTATTGATAGTATGTAATCTATTTATTATTATCTTGTTTTCCTTTTTTGTTGAAAAGGCCTACTGAAATAGATGCTCTTGTATGTGGTCACATATATGCCCTTTCCTCAATCAAAGTTTCCCTTCCCACTAATGTCCAAGAGATTGTTGCAACTGTACAAGAATTTCCCAATCTCCTTGAACATGCATCAAGAAGTGCACAGAATTATTTGAATTTTACTGCAATTCAGTCTTTTGATGATTTTGAAGTCTGTGCAACCTCTTCTAAAGAAACCCTATGGAATTGCACTGAATCCCTTGAAGCATTACCGCCACTTTCAGAAGATTCTTTTGAATTTCTTCTTTCTGAACCCTTGAATCCTTTTAACATTTAGTGTATTCATTGTCACAGTTTTAGTACTTGAAATACACACTTGTTCAATTGATCAATTTATAGTTGATTATTTTATTATTTAATTACATTTAGGACACCTAATGAATTGGATGCCTTAGTTTTTGGACACATCTTTACAATAATCACAACTCCTCTACCTGGTAATCACCTGGCGAGTATTATCCAGAGTTATCCACAGCTTGTGCACCTCCTCAAACGCATTGAGACTAGGTATTTCCAGCGTTCGGAAGATTAGGTGGAATTATACTCGGGCTTCAGATACATTGAAGTTAGATATTCGGACTCTCTTAATTCAAAGTTCCTATGTTATGCGTGTACATAGTAATTTCATGAAATTATGATGTATATATGTGTTTTACACGTATATATTATATATCGTAAATATTATGCAAATTACAATAAGTAAATGTTCAATGTATCTGAAGTTCGAGTTCGGGAATATATGAGATAGTAAGTACCATAGGAAATAAAAAAATACTGATAGTTAATTTGTAGTTGTTGAATATGCAAATTACATTAGTGTTGAACATGAAATATTGTTGAATGTATTATTCTAAATACATAATACTGCACGTGACATTTTTCAGCATTTTTTCTCCTCAAGCGATAGGGGTCAAATAAAATAACAAAATGTTGGAGGCGAGAATTAAGTAACACGACTTTGGAGATTTCCAAATATAATGTCTTCGAAATCGACAGGAATGCATAACCGATAAAAGGTATTCTTAAATTAGACGTTTTACAAAATTGTTTATCAGAAGTTGTTTAAAATGATTATTGTCTATTTTTTTTAAGGATTATTATTTTCAATGTACCTGTTATCAGCATTTATTTTTAACTTAACTAAATCATTGAAAAGACCGATGTACAATAACAACCATTTTGTTAAGTATAATTATGGCGTTAATTGACAATAAGAACTTTTTCTTATAGATTTTGTATATATATTTAACACAACTAATAATAATATTTGTACTTCTGTATTATAAGTCACTCATCTATCTTTTAAATTTTATTTTAATTGAAAGTTTTTACTAGTTACATGAACTTTTTCTAATTTATACTCGTGTGTAAAAAATATGTGTATCATTATTAACGTGCATCAATTTTTCAACGCACATCTATATTATATAGAAATTTTTTACACAATATCAAAGTTTTACTACTTTTCTAGTCAGTTCTTTGTAACCTATTTTTCTCTATGGAATTGTAATGTATTCTTATATATTGTACGCAAAATAACATAATGATGTGTTGTATAACATTTTATTTAAATTAAACGTAAATTGTTGAAATGATGTTTAGAGTTTTTTTTTTCTGAAGCAAAAAATTTTCAGAAAACGATTAGTACGGCCATGTCATAAATCACGGTAAATTATCCATCATAATTATTATAATATGTCTGTTACATATTTCTTGTCTCCAGCGTTTAGTTACAATAAACACTAAATATATTCACCGTTAAATTTTTTATTAAAATTTATATATTCAATA